GCATTTTGGTGCCCTGGTTTCTGTGCAGATGCCATAGCAGCTGAAGCATGGATCCCAGTTTGCAGCAAACCATTCTAATGCTGAAGTGTACAGAGGTGTGCCTAAGGGCATAGTACTTTGACAGCATATGCATGTCGTTCCACCAGGAAGAGAAGGACAACAAATTTTGGCTTGGCATGGTGTACTGTTCATGCAGGCTGGCATTTTGGTGCCCTGGTTTCTGTGCAGATGCCATAGCAGCTGAAGCATGGATCCCAGTTTGCAGCAAACCATTCTAATGCTGAAGTGTACAGAGGTGTGCCTAAGGGCATAGTACTTTGACAGCATATGCATGTCGTTCCACCAGGAAGAGAAGGACAACAAATTTTGGCTTGGCATGGTGTACTGTTCATGCAGGCTGGGTCAGTGATGCAAGAACAGGCACCAGGCAATCCTGTGGACACAGCGAAACACAAGTTCTGGCACTGTGAGATAAGCACAGACTGGTGGGACCGCATTATGATGCAGAGATGGGACAATCAATAGCAGCAGCTGCCGCGGTCACTTCCTTGGAACTTTGTGAATAGCTTTCCCCTGCCCTGCAGTGCCAAAAATACGTCAATTAGACCCACTCTGACCCTGGAGAAGGATGTAGCAATAGCCCTCTGGAAGCTTACAATGCCAGTCAGCTACTGTTCAATGGGGAATTAATTTGGAGTGGAGAAATCTAGTAGGGGATATTTTCATACAAGTAGCCAATGCAATCAATACCATTCTGTTATGGAGAGTTGTGACTCTAGGAAACATGGATACCATAGTGGATGTCTTTGCCATAATGGGGGTTCCCTAACTGTGGTGGAGTGACAGATGGAACACACATCTCCATCTTGGCCACCGGCTCCCTTACCAAGGAGTACATAAACTGCAAGGAGTACTTCTCCATGGTGCTGCAGGCACTGGTGGATTATAAGGACCATTTCACTGACACCAACTTGGGATGGTCGGGAAAGGTGCATGACACATGCATCTTTAGGAACTTCTGCTTCCTCAGAAAGGTGCCCAATGGAACTTTTTTCCCGCAATAGCAAAATCAGAATCAGAATAATTATGATCCTTGGTGACCCAATCTACCCCTTGCTCCTGTGGCTCATGAAGCCATACACAGGCAGCCTAGACCTCAGCAAGCAGTTCAACTACAGGTTGAGAAAGTGCAGAATGGTGGCTGAATGTGCTTTTGGCTATTTAAAGGGTAGGTTTCGGAGTCTGACTCGGTTGGACCTCAGCAAATGCAACATTTCCTTTGGTATGTCAGCCTGTTGTATGCTCCATAGTCTTTGTGAAAGCAAGGGGGAAGTTATCTGGTAGGATGGGAGGCTGAAGCAGAGCACACAGACAGAGAGTTTGAGCAGCTAGACACCAGGGCGATAAGGAGAGCACAGCATGGGGCAACGCAAATCAGAGAGGCTTTGACAACAATTTTATGAATGGCCAGTTTTGAGAGTCTTCCATGTTGCTCTGAACAAGTTGCCCCTGCATTTTTTGTATTGGCCTTTAAGCTCCCATGGAGATGTGCAGGGAAGATTACCGCTCCATTTGCCAATTCAATTACAAGCTGTTCTTCGCTCCCCCACCTCCCATGCTGTGTAGGCACAGAGTGCACTGCTCATCACACCCAATTAATTGCCTAAATCTCCTTACATTGTGAACTCACCAGAATTCCCCTCCCCGCAGTTGGTGCTCGACTGGGAGACATCATGGGAAGAGAGGACTGACTCCAGCAAGATGAAAAGATCCTGGTTCTGGCTCACTGACTGGCTATTGTCTCTCCCTAGGAGTGTCTTGGCTAGACTCCACAGTCAGGCTGGGGAAGATGATTGGGTACCCCACCCAAATTGCATCCAGCTGCTCTCAGAAGCAGCATCGATGTGGCGATGCACCAGACTGTCTATCCTTTGCATTGTGGTAGAACTGCCTTAGCTCCTTGATTCTGACGTGGAATTGCTGGGGTCCCAAAAATATCCTTTAGCCACCAGGCAGCTTCCAATCTTCACGTCAATGTCTGTTACACGTTTGTGGGTTTAGCACTCAGAAAAAGTGAATTATTTTCCTCACACTTCAATGAGGTTCAAGGATGCACCAGACTGTCTATCCTTTGCATTGTGGTAGAACTGCCTTAGCTCCTTGATTCTGACGTGGAATTGCTGGGGTCCCAAAAATATCCTTTAGCCACCAGGCAGCTTCCAATCTTCACGTCAATGTCTGTTACACGTTTGTGGGTTTAGCACTCAGAAAAAGTGAATTATTTTCCTCACACTTCAATGAGGTTCAAGATCTCTTGGACACTGCACGTTGGCACTTTTCTGTGTCCCTGGGAACTGGACCCCATGAGAGCAGAAGTTTTTAAAAAACAATTTCAGTATTTGAATTGGTCAAAGCCATGGCCACATGCGCCACTCACTCTGAGATATGCTCACAATGCTGGCTGCACAGGAAATGAAAAGGGAGTTACTCACTTCATACAGTAACAACTGTTCTTCGAGATGTGTCCCCCCATGGGTGCTCCATTATAGGTGACAGGTCGCCCATAGCCACAGATCGGAGCCTTGAAAAGCAGTTTCCCCCACAGAGCTGTGCATGTGCAGGAGGCATCTCACAGTGCTCCCACCCGAATGTGTTACTTGCATGGCTCAACCGCTCCCTATTAGTTCTTCATCTATGCCCAAGTAAATAAGACTCCAAGCAGAGGGGAGGAAGGGGAAGGGAGGGTGTGGAGCACACACGGGGGAAAGGGGGTGAGGAGAGACACATCTGAAAGAGTAACTCCCTTTTCTTCTTCAAGTGATCTCCCCGCGGGTGCACCTCTGTAGGTGACTATAAAGCAGTATTTGATCTGGATGGAGGGAACTGGAGTCAGTGTTTGGTGGTGGTGGACAAAACTGCAGTAGCCACCAATGAATAAGAAGCAAGTCGTGACAACATGGCATAATGTTTAGTGAAAGTGTGGTCTGATGACCATGTCGTGGCTCGATAAATGTCTATTAGCAGAAGTTGTTCAAAAAGGCTGTGGAAGCTGCTGTAGCCCAAGTAAAATGTGCTTGTGGTGGATGTTGTAGTGGTCTGTTGGCTAGGGTAAGACATGTAACTATGCACGTCAATATCCACTTTGAGATAAGAGGTACAACTATTTCATCTCAACGTGAGTGCTGGAAATAAAAAGGCTTTGGGATTTACAAAATGCTCGTGTTCTTTCCAGAAAGAAAACCAATGCTCGTTGCATATCAAGAGTATGTACGCTAGTGTCTCGTGGTGAGGCGTGGGGCTTTGGAAAAAAGGTAGCTAACACAATAGGTTCATTCACGTGGAATGTTGTACAGACTTTTGATAAAAATGCTGGACGAGGTCTCAGTGTGACTGTGTCTTTTGTAAAAACCTTGTATGGGGGTTCCACCATAAAGGCCCCCAGTTTGCCAACTCTCCTTACTGATGTGATGGCTAGTAAAAAGCAGACCTTCATAAAGAGGAAGGGGAGTGCAACAGTGTCCAACAGTTCAAAGGGAGGCCTAGTCAAATAGTCCAAAACAAGGTTCAAGTCCAATAAGGAGGATGGGGTCCCATGAGGCTGGTATATGTTGTGGAGGCCCTTGAGGAACCTTTTCGTTACAGGATGTGCAAATACAGAGCAACCATCCACCGGGGTGTGAAAAGCTGTGTGAAAAGCTGTTATTGCGGAAAGGTGAACCCTTAGGGATGAGAATGAAAGCCCCAACATTAACATTTAGGATGTAATCCAGGATGATTTTTATTGGGGACATCTATGGGTCTCTCTCAGCCTTGTGACACCAGAGAGAGAAGCAGACCCATTTTCCCAGGTAAGTCCTTCCTATAGATGGTCTCCTACTATGAAGGAGAACATCCTTTATCTGCTGAGAACATCGGTCTTCCAATTCCGTGAACCAGAGAGAAGTCATACCTGGAGATATAGACTTTGTGGTTGTGGGAGCAACCTCTTCCCGTGAGTCTGGGAGAGAAGGTTGCACCGATGTGGCAACGGGTAGGGAGATTGAATCGCTAGCTTGTGGATACTAGGTCTGGCATGACCACGCTGGAGCTATGAGGATAAGACAAGGACCATCTGTGTGCCTCTTGTGTAGGACTCTGGGAATAAGTGGCATGGGGGAGAAGCATAATGCAGATGGGCTGTCCATTGAATCAGAAAAGCATCTCCTAGGGCAGGCATGTCCAAAGTCCGGCCCACGGGCCAATTGCGGCCCGTGTTCCGGTTTAATACGGCCCCACAGGTAATTTGGCAATATCTATCATTTATGGCCCCCAACGAATCAATATGTATTGAGATGAATACATTGTAAAATCTCAGTTAATGTCGGTTGGTCTAAATCAGTTATAAATATATTTGGACACAACATGTATACTTGGTGTTATGTTCCTGTTCATATTTTTTTAACTTAAAAGTTGACAGACAACCTTTATTACCAATAATATGTAATGTACTTTACAATGTTCCTGACATATATTTCAGCTTCCTGGATTTTTTTTTCATCTGGCCTTCAGATATGAAAGGCAGAGTGATTTAACACCTGTTTAGATTTGTCATCCATGTGACGAAATGAAAAGTATGCCGTTTGCAATAAACTTTGCATAAAATAGTTAATTTGCATTTAATTTTAATGGTTCAAAGAATGTC